TTTGTTCAGACGTACACGGGTACCCCGCAGTAAAAAAGAGGGGGATCTTGTCTTGGGGGACGACAGTCTTTGGGGTGTTGTTTTCCATTTGCGCTGCTGCTGTTGTCATTGTTGTTGTTCCTCCATGTAGTCTAACACCTAAATTTCTGACAGGCGATCTCCTGGGAGGACGTCCTCAGGTCGCTGACCAATGGTCCGGTTGTATGACTTGACCAACTGGGGTAAGACTTTCAAATAGTGTTGGGTCCCATGCTGAGTAAAGCATCACCACATTGAAACCATTCGTTGAAACCGTTTCACCATGGATGCTTTCGTGTCAGGATTTTGACTGGAGTATAAATGAATGCTGTGCTTCATCATGAGAGCCTCAAAAGGGCGGTTGACAAATTCTCTGCCTTTGTCTGTTTGCAATTGAGCAGGTAGTCGTCCTTTGGCTTGTTGCATCAGCAAGGTTTGAAAACCTTCGGTCAAAGCAGAACTGTTCTTGGCCTTCAGGGGATGCACCCATGCCATCTTTGAAAACACATTGATCATGCACAGCAGATATTTGAATCCTTGGTTTGAATCTTCTTGAAAGGCAATCATGTCACTCAAGTCTGCTTGCCACAATTCATTGACGGCTCCCACACGATAGCGGGCTCTTGGAAAGGAGCATCTGGCTGGTTTGTGCAAGGTGTAGGTATTTTGGGTTTGCAACCAACGCTTGATTTGAATTTGCGATGGAATGGTTTTCTTCTTGCTTTTACTGGTTCTTGCATCTTGAGCGTGGATTCGTGCTGCTTTCCAAAAAGGTCGCCAGCCGCCAAAACTTGCAGGATGTTCAGGATGAAATAAGGTTTTTTCCAATCAGGCCATCCAAAGGGGAGTAAGAAGTCCTTTGTGTTGTGTCTTCCCAGTGGCAAGAAGACTTCGTCGCGTCTTGGCCTGTCGCATCATTTTCTCTCATCAGACTGATGCCTCTCGGTACATGGTTGGTCTTTTAATAGAGAGTCTTCTTCTTCTTCTGACCACTTCGTCGATCACCTGTTGAGGATGAGGGGCAGGTCTACCTGGGGTGTCCATTGTTGATGGCGGCGGTGGTGGTGTTGCTGGTGCTGTTGGTGCTGGTGGTTTGGTGCTGGTGGTGCTGGTTGTGGTGGTGCTTGTGGTGGTGGTGCTTGTGGTGGCGGTAGTGGTGGTGGAGGTGCGGTGCTGTTGGCACTGCAACTCTAGCATGCGTTGCAACAGTTGGTTGTATTCTTGTTCCCGCAGGTGAAAAGGCTGCTGTGACCTCTGCATCAACGTGTCATCTCTTCCAAATTTTGGAGATGTTTCTTTTCAAAGAGAGGGGTGTGATAGGTCTGTCGTTGCCGTTGTTTTGTGGCCTGTAGACTTTGCCATGGTCTTCAGGTACCAACACCATCTTGCGTGCCAACTTCATGGTGACACACCAAACACTGATCCCGACCTTCCTTGTGTCACCCCTTTATGACCTTCCTCCAAAAAAAAGAGGCTAGGGCAGAACCAATAAGTGGAATGAGTCCTCCTAATAATCATCCTTCACGTTGAAGAAGTTTTCGTTTCTTGCTCAGAGGGACTTGTTTTTTCATGAGCTTATTCAAGACTTTGCCGTGCTGTTGCAAGTGTTGACGTTGAGTCATGGTCATGGGAATATTGAACCCTGACTACTTGGACTGCTTTCCCCTAGAACTACTGTCTTTATTTGACATGGTGATCGAGGACTTCTATCAACAGATGTCAGGCCAGAAGGGGGATCATATTGGTCTAGGTATCCAACACCCCGCTTTGAACACCCCCATACAGATTCCATTTCATCGCTTTGAAGATCTCCATGGGCAAGATATCTTGCATGCCGTGGAAAAAGTCCAACAGTCCAACCAAGACCTTGCCATCGATGCCACCATGGTTGAGACCTTAGTACACATAGCAGATCCCAATGGTCTTGCAGGGACCCCACTGTACCAACCTACCTCCCCCACTAAACCCTCGCGACGCCTTCTATGGAGGACGAACCAAGCCACCCGATTATGCTACGAGGACTAAGTAGGTGAAACCATCAAGTATATCGATATCTGTTCGCTTTATCCCTACATTTGCAAGACCGGAGAGTTTCCCGTGGGACCCCCGACCATTCTCCATCAACCCCCTGTGGAGAAGTTGTTTGATCTGAAAGGTCTTATCCAAAGTCGTGTCCTACCCTCGAGACACCGCTACTGCCCTACAGATCGGGTGGAAAACTGCTCATTCCTTTGTGCCACACCTGTGCAGATACCCGGTCAGAGACGCCCTGCGAACACACGGATAAAGAGAGGGCTTTGGTGGGCACATACGCCACCGTAGAACTCCATGACAACAGACAACATCTCAACTCAGCCTCTACCCTAGGTTTGGCACCCTATTGGAGTTGAAATCAATCAAGACACAAAGAGTCAGTTCAATCAATCACTGTTTAATGATGAACAATAACAAACTTCAACTTAGATACAAGGGGAACAATGCAAACAATGCAAACAATGCAAACAATGCGATACAATGCGATACAATGCCAAAAAAGCGGACGACAACCCTCGTCACAGTCATCACACAGGTTCATGGCTTCATGGATGGAAGTGAGCAGGGCATGGTACTCTCTCCGAACACGTCTGTCTTCCAGATAAAACGCCAACAGCCAACACAGCCTTAGGAACATCATGAAAAAAAATGATCTAGTCTCTGTACCCAAAAGGGAGCGTGTCTACAGGCAGGCCTGTGGTTTTGTCGTAGACGATGCGTCGCTTGTCGTAAATGGTGTGGTAGTCTTTTGGGGTGGTTGGGTCACAAGATCGTTTCCATGCTGAGGTCCTTTACGAATGATCTGATGGGGGTAATGCATCTCGATTTTCTTCGCCTCCTCTCCAGGCCGTTGTCCCATAATCAGTCCTTTCATGGTGTCAAAGTTAAGGTGTTGTTGGCTTCTGTAATAAAAGGTGAACCCTAGCACTTTGCAGACCGTGCTGCGCGTTCAATCGGGTCTTGACTTCATTAACTCTTAGGCATAGTTTTTGGGACCTCCTGACACAGACGTCTTGATGGTGTTTCCGGTCAGTTCGTCTGTAAAATCACCCAACGAATTGCCCAGCTTTGGATTCCTTTCATTGGGTCGATGAATGTAAATGACGCTGTCCATGTCGAAGTACAAGGCCCTGCGACCCAACAGGCTGAGGGCCTCGTACAGCTTGAGACGTGCTTTTGCAGTGACCCAAGCAGCCACGACAGGATTGAAATGAGGATGAGTTGTTTGGAATTCTTCATTGCGGGTTTAGGTCACCATATGTTCGTTGATGACGGTGATATCGTCGATGGGATTTCGTTCATCTCTCAACAGGGCAAAGTACTGGGCAGGTTCGTTCATATAGACAGACCGACTACAGTCTAAGCGCTGTCCGAACTTGCCCCAGAGCGAATTAAGAAAGAGCTTGGAATGAGCGCGGAGTCCTGGGTTCTTCTTGATGTTGTCCTTGTCCAACCGGATGCTTTCTTTCTGATAGATCTCCTCGATGTAAGCATCGTGATCGGTACATCCCTCGGCGACCTAAAACGTTGTTTCTTTGCACTTCTGTAAATCTTGGCATGTTTTTGGACTGTGACGGTTTGGTTGACGCAGATGCCTGGCAATAATACCGTGTGCGTACGTGCGTGCGTGCGTGTTTGTTTGTTTGTGAAGGTGAAGATTATAACAAAGGTCCATTGTCAATTCGGGAGGATTTAGAGGGCCGGTGGACCTGACCGTCCACATTAACACTAAAGGATAAGACGAAGAATGTTGACGTTTTCAGAAAAAAACATGGCCATACAAATCAACTTACTATATAGTTATCAGCGTGTTATGTATATTGCACAGTATATTGTGGAGCGACTTTAAATAGAGGGCACGAGTGGCCTTGTCGTCTAAGGCGTCCATTGGGCACGTCAGAAACCTATGATTGTGGGTTCGAATCTCGGTTCGCGACGGTTGTGTTTCTGAGTTCATCAGCACCATAATCATGCTCTTGGATTTCACTAAAGCAGTAAAAGCCTTAGACCTTCCTCACAGTGTTTCTCAAACATCAAGCTGACAAGCCGTGATAAAACAGTATGAATACTGTTCCAAGCGGCGTTAAACGCAACTCATTCACTAACTCACCAACGCTAGAGATGTAGTTCCTTTTTATTGTCATTTAACTGTAAATAAAAGTGACAAAGTCCTTTCCATATTCATAAGAAATATCTGCCAAAAACAGAGTCGAGAGTATGATTCTGGCTACATCATGCACATATGTGTGTGGTTCACTTTCAAATAATGATGACAGCAGGTCACAATACAACGTTTTGAAAATGTTACTGAGGCCTTGAATCAAACAACTTGGTAGAAAGAGCATGCTTGGTGGTAATTCAGATTTTGTGAAATGTAGACACCAAAGGCTGGAGCTGCTAGAATAATGCTCGACATAAAGTGAAAATTGCCTATTACAAAGCTGAAGTCATCCCTTTTGTCAATCACCTGTTAAGTTTATTTTATTGTATGGTAAACTTGCCTGACCCCCAAACTGTCACTAAAACCACCCAATCACCACAACTCAACCCAAACTAAAGCAAATGTTAGAACTGCTCACTATAACAACGACATTCTGAGGCATTGCGAGGATATCTTCTCATGTCGACGAGATTATGTATGTAACTACGATAAGGAAATTATCTGTTACTTTATGTGAGACAGTGTACAGTGTAAATATCCTGGCGTGTCTCGTCATTATCAATCAACATGCGTTTTGTATGCTCCATTCTCTTGTATTTTGATAATGTATGGCGGTCCATTTGTTGCCAAATGCCACTTTTAGTACCAACCACACTATCCATAGAATCCTTAACCCTACAGAAATTTAAGAATTCTAACTGCCATAATTTACTGATTATTGTTATACCTACAATGTATTTGTGCAGCTGTTTAGTTCAGTTTAGTTCCTACAGTTAATGTGTTGTAGATCACGCTTCTTCAGCGACAGCTTGGTTAAATCAATCGGAGTCCCTGAGCTCAATAGTAAGTGCAAAGTACAAAAAACACATTATGATTATTGGTTTTGTGTGTATTATCACACAAAAGTTAAAATGACTATCAAGTTGTGCGTGTGCGTGTGCGTGTGCGTGTGCGTGTGCGTGCGTGCGTGCGTGCATTGCTGTTAAATGTACAGGTAACCTAGCTCTACATTGAAAACACAGTATGTTTTTCTCCTGATTCAACAACGATCAAGATGATCACATGTTTCAGACATTTCAATATAATAATGTATTCCAATGCACAATGAATCTGGACAGAGGTTTCAAAGTTTATATTTTTAAGTGATAATGTGTTACGTGATTTACACATATTTGGACAATTCTATAGTACAATTCTTTGGGATATAAAGAAGTCGTTGTTGGAGTAGATAGACAGTGAAACAGCATATGAATTGCATAATGTACATACACGGTCTTCTTTCAGTAGCTCTCGCCATCGTCCGGTTTAATGGACAAATTATGAAATGATTTGCGAAATTTTGAAATCGATAGATTTATATTGTTTGGAGGTAATTTTTAAATATAAGTGCAAAGTACAAAAACACATCATGATTATTGGTCTTGTGTTTATTATCAAATCAAAGTTAAAATGACTATCAAGGTATGTGTGTGTGTGTGCGTGCGTGCGTGCATTGCATGCATAGTAGATGGATGGGTGTATGAGTGTTGATAGATGGATGGATGTTATGTTCGTTTGTACTCTATTGTCAGAATGTATATTATTAATATGAATGTCAGTGGGTATTATCTAACTCTCTCCTGTTTGAACACATCAGTTTATTATGAGCAAATCCATGCCATAAAGGACTTGAGACTGGTTGAGTTCATACAACTATGCCTCTAGGCATTCATTGTCCGTAATTGGATTTTACCACTTACAACTGTGTTTTTCATTCAGTTGTACCGCGTATATTGTAGGAACAATCTAACATTGTTTTATAATGTTTTATATCAAGGCTTTGTCAAGAACACAAATTCTCCCATCAGGGATGCAAGTGACCTTCAACATAGACAACGACACCAACAAAGTGAGTAGGTACACTCATGTGTTACCATGTCTTCAGATAGTACTTATTTCTATATTTATAATTCCCATTTGATTACTATGGTTTCCTAACAATATATTTCTTGAAGTTTAAACTATTCATATATGTTCAGATACAGTCAACTCACAAGTGTTCATGAAAACCTTTCTGTTAATTGAGTATTTTCCTCAAAGTCTATACCGAGTAACTTTCTTTCAGATTCTGTCACAGAGCATTGACGACCCATCCCTTCTGAAACCTGAAATCACAGTCGTTACAGCGTATTTTAACATTGGCTCATTCGCCAAGGGAAGCACATCCAACATGTACACACCAAGCCGTTATATGCACTGGATGAAGGTGTTTGGCAGAATCAGGAACAACCTTGTCGCATATACCGATTCTAGAGATACCTTTAATTTACTGAATAACCTCAGACGTAAGTTCCCTAGCAACATGACAAAGGTATTCCTTATAGACAGGGCCAATCTGTGGTCGTTCTCTTTGGCTGGGGAAATTCGAAGTATTTACACTCAGCCTAACTATCCACATCATCATCCGAACACAGTTAACGAGAACTACTCATGTGCGATGCATGCAAAGTTTGAGTTAGTTAACAAAGTCTTAATGGAGGAATTGTTTCCTACCAAATATTTCTGTTGGTTGGATATTGGACTCTTTCGTGATCTTGCTAATGATAACTCAGTGTTCAAGCTTCAAATACCACACGAATGGGACAAAAGTAGAGTCGCTTATAGCCGTGTGTATGGTTTTAACGATAAAGCTACAATAGAAAGCGTAATCAAAGGGAACAGTGTATGGGTGGGCGGGGCCATGTTTCTGGGAACTCCTGAAGTGTTGAACAAGTATACCGAAGACTACATGAATACAGTCAAGATGTTGTTAAAACAACGTTTAATGAACACAGATCAGCAGGTGATATACTCAATGTATCTCCCGTCGTCCAAAGTCAAGCCTCGGGTTCAAATCCAGTTATTTTCTGGAAAGAAAAGCCCGTATAATCCATGGTTTTATCTTGGTTACCTGTGCAGAGAGACATCGCATAAGGCCCCGAAATGATGCCATCAGGTCTATTTCCTAAATAATTAAGTCAAAATCCAATTGATTTTTAAGCACTTTCAGTTCATCCTAATCCTAAAGGTTACAAAACGTTAAAGCAAAAATCTGAGAAAAGAATACGCCATACTATGCATTGTATATTTTAAATATTGTTGATTGTTGTCTTTTTAGCTGTTAAAGATAAATGTCATGATTCAAATGAAAACCAAATAAGTCATCTGTTGATGTAGTTTTTAAAAACCTTTCTGCTACTTTTTACTTAATTAAATAAAGCATAAAACATGTGTCTTTAGTGTTTCTCTTTGTTTGTAAACAGCAGAATCTCTGCACTTGTAGAGGACATAGGTAATCAGACCCATAATTAAATAATGGTTTGTAACTGATATAACGAATGATATAATAGATCTACGCAATAGTTGGTTGGTTGGTTGTTTAACGCCGCACTCAGCAATATTCCAGCTATATGACGGTGGTCTGTAAATAATCGAGTCTGAACCAGACAATCCAGTGAGTAATATCATGTGCATCGACCCACGCAATTGGGATCGATGACATGCATCATTCCAGTCAGAGAGCCTGATCACCCGTTCTATTTAGTCGACCCTTGTGGCAAGCATAGTCGTCTGTAATGTCAAGCATGGAGCACATCATGAACGTGCTCGTCCAATTAAAATTTGTTCAAGTCCCTCAAACACAACTTAGTTCAATGTCTATATTAGTTGTGCAGTTTCTGAATACCCGGATTAAATCGAGAAATTTTGCAGCTTCACACATGACCATTATGACAATGTCTCTGTCTCACCCATGGCTTTCTCAACAATGTCACAGCTTAACAATTGTCCTTAACGACAGTGTTTCAGTTTTTTGCTTATCGAAAATCTTTCAGTTTTACACGTATCCTTAACTACAATGTCTCAGTCAGGAACATGACCTTTGTCTCAGTTGCACACATGGCCATTGTCTCACTCTCACACAAGGCCTTAACGATAATGTCTCAGTCTATCACATGACCTTTGTCGCACTCTAACACATGGCCCTAAAGAAAATGTCTTAGTCAGGCATTTGACCTTTGTCTCACTCTCACACTTGGCCTTAAAGAAAATGTCTCAGCCTGGCACATGACCTTTGTCTAACTCTCAAACATGGCCAATATCGCAGCTTCACACATGTCCCTGAACTACAATGTCACAGTTTCATATATGTCCTTAACGACAATATCACAGCTCCACACATGTCCTTGATGACAATATCACAGTTTCACACATGTCCTTAACGACAATATCACAGTTTCACACATGTCCTTAACGACAAAATCACAGCTTCACACATGTCCTTAACGACAATATCACAGCTCCACACATGTCCTTAACGACAATATCACAGCTCCACACATGTCCTTAACGACAATATCACAGCTCCACACATGTCCTAAACGACAATATCACAGTTTCACACATGTCCTTAACGACAATATCACAGCACCACACATGTCCTTAACGACAATAATTCAGCTTCACACATGTCTCTGAACAACAAATGTTACAGTTTCACACATGTCCTTAACGACAAAATCACAGCTTCACACATGTCCCTGAACTACAATGTCACAGCTCCACACATGTCCTTAATGACAATATCGCAGCTTCACACATGTCCATGAACTACAATATCACAGTTTTACATATGTCCTTAACGACAATATCACAGCTCCACACATGTCCTCAACGGCAATGTCACAGTTTCACACATGTCCCTGAACTACAATGTCACAGATCCACACGTGTTTTTAACTAGAATGTCACATCCAAAGCATATCCTAAACAACAATGTCACAGCTTCACAATGTCCTTAACGGCAATGTGACAGCGTTTCACATGTCCTTAAAGATAATGTCACAGCTTCACACATGTCCTTAACTATAATGTGACAGCTTCACACATGTTCTTAACTACAATGCTACAGCCCCACACATGTCCTTAACACCAATGTCACAGTTTCACGTGTGTCCTTAACTGCAATGTCACAGTTTCCCGTGTGCCTTGACTACGATGTCACAGTTTCCCGTGTGTCCTTAACTGTAATGTCACAGTTTCACGTGTGTCCTTAACTGCAATGTCACAGTTTCACGTGTGCCCTTAACTGCAATGTCACAGTTTCACGTGTGTCCTTAACTGCAATGTCACAGTTTCACACATGTCCCTGAACTGCAATGTCACAGTTTCACATGTGTCCTTGACTACAATGTCACAGTTTCACGCGTGTCCTTGACTGCAATGTCACCGTTTCACATGTGTCCTTGACTACAATGTCACAGCTCCACACATGTCCCTCAACTACAATATCACAGTTTCACGCAAGACTGAAAAGGGAAACAACACTTTGAAAGTAGTGGAAAATGGATCGCTTGTTTCTTTGTGGATTCGTAATGTGCTTATTATGGACTACAATCACGACTAGTTTGACTTGTGTTCGGTGCTATTCTCGCTGCGCTGCGCGAAGCAACACCTATAGGGAGCACGATAAACCGGATGTAACAAAGGATGTAAAATAAAGAGCTGCAGCCAGACTGACATGTATTTTGTTTATTAGTGTCTACACGACTTGCAAGGATCTTACTATTGGTCAACATCATATTATTCGCAGTAACAAACTACATCGTGTCTCTTCAAGCCCACAAACAAGTGATAACAAACTTGATCCCTAAAAATGTGGCCTTTTGTTTTATAAAATATCGCTTGACATGATGATTTAACATTTCAATTGTATTTTACCTCTATATTCGGGGTGAATTCAAGCCACTTAGAAACTTACTGAATGCCCTTCTGTGGTGTTGATTATTTATAGTCACCAAGAATAATTAACATTCAAGCAAAGATTTTAAAAAAGAATAAATTTCTATTGGTTTGGATGCATCATGTATACTTTGTCAATCTTGTAAAAAGAAATTTTCAACCTTTGTTTGAATATATTTAGGAACAGTATTTCATCTCCACCCTTTTGTGGCAACCATAGTATTCCAAATGCATATCGAAAGGGCAAACCTTTAACATGTGTTGCTCAGTTGGGGTGGCGTCTATCGCATGTTTCCTTTAACATAAGATAACACAGGTGTGAATATCTGTACGGTTGCAGTGATATTAAGCGTAACCAATATGATAACATAAAGAGGGTGAATAGAATCAGCATTTTTAAATACCTTTATCAGTTTCACAGGGATATCTTCCACTAAGATTAGATCGTCTGCAAATAATAATGCTTGGATATTTAGCATTTTTTGAAGATATGGAGATCCCGTCTTGCAAAGACGTACACATGTATTCCACCAATTCTTTTATAAAAATCGAGTTCAACATTGGACTGAGAGTAACACCCTAGCGGACGCCAAAAGAACCTTTAAATAATCTGATAGGTTCTAAGCACCTTCTATGACAACTGTAGACTTCACACTATCCATTCCATTTTGTAATAAAACATACAACATTTTCCTATTTACAAGGTCAAAGGTTCAATTCTCGGGGAAAACACCTGCTTCAGGTGACAAAGATGTTTAAATCTTTTTTATTTGTTTAAATAACAAGAACATTCAGAATAAAACCACATTTGCTCTTTATTATTTCTGTTATATACCTGTAAAGATGTACATTTCCACGGTTCTCCACATAATTTAATATATTTACCAGTTCATCAACAGCACCATCCACACTTACATATACTTATATATTAAAATATTTTATCATTTCTTGGATTCTTCTGGAATTGTATTTGCATAACTGAAATAGACAGATGATCAGACATTGTATTGAATGTGACAGTAAAATGTTCAATATATGGAAAAAGAGACTGCGACATGCATATACAGTCAAAGGTACTATAGCTACGATGACCCATAAAGGCAAAGTCACTGGAAAGTCACCTTCCATTAGAAATATGGTTTTCAAATGGTTTACATATTTTGGTATATTTGGGGGTTTTTTCGCCTGGGTAATTTAGCTGAAGAGACGTCATATCCAATATCATCCAGTGGTAAGTATTCTATAGAATCAAGTTCAATGCAGTCATCCTCAGTGCCAGTTCTATAGTTAAGGTTGGGCGGTCGGGTAGCCGAGTGGTTAAAGCGTAGTATTTTGTAGCATGGATGCTCCATTTTCAGAGAAGTCAACATATTTTCTAATAATTCTGTACCATTATGTTGATCCTGAGATCGAGATGTAATATAAACAAAGTAAAATATAACATACATATTTACAACCAGTGGGAACTCGGAGACAAGAATGACACTATCATCCCATTCCCTGTTTACATGTTTGAATAAGCGTGAGGAATGATCATGGACATAGATCATGGAAACACCACCACTGTATCTTCCAGCTCGATACTGTTTCATTCCTACGGACTGAAAACATGTATATCCGGGGAGACTATCTTGGAGATCATCCCTGATTTTTGCCCAGGTCTATAGGAGAGAGATTTATGTTTGATAATTAGTCAAAAATGGGAAGAAAGTTAGAATTTGTGAGCTTAGAATAAATAACATGAATGTTCCAACATATTTTAGAAACGTGAGTATCCTCCGGTAGCCTATATGTATTTGTGTTAATTATTGTTTGTGGTACATGTTGGTCTGGGCAAAGTTCTCTGACGGGCTGTCAAATGGGTTCCTGCTTCTACTGTTCCACAATGATATAAGAGTCCTTGACGTGCTATCGTAGGTGTATGGGACCTGTACCAAGAAAGCCTCCTTTCCTTCTTCCCTTGCTGACACCATGAAAGGAATTAGCTTCCTTCGGAGCTGCCTTGTATAAAATGTGGGTCTCGGGGTGCACGTGCTGTACCATGTGAGGCGTGTACATGTGTTTACAAAGTTTGTTTGAAAGTATAGGTATAGCAAAGATAAGAAGTTTTCCACAATTGTTCGTAGCACGCACCACAAGAGCGTTTATTGCAATACATGACGACACCGTTGACTGCAATTAAGCTGGTCACAAACAAAACTGCGAACATCCAATAGGCGAAGGCAATGCCGGGTGTCCATGTTGTCTCCCTCATGTAGTTGTCTATATATCTGTGTGTGTGTGTGTGTGTGTGTGTGTGTGTGTGTGTGTGTGTGTGTGTGTGTCTGTCTGTCTGTCTGTCTGTCTGTGTGTCATGTGGAGCAGCACTCACTTTCGAAAAACACCTCCCTCCGACCGCGTCTCTCCCATGCGCATCCCCTTTTCAAACTTGTGATACAATGATCGAAGAATTGTATCTGAAACTATTATTTTATC